CCCCAAAACCCCAAAACCCCAAAACCCCAAAACCCCATATGAGGTATATAAGATGGAAAATATCAAGAGTTATTGTTAATATTAAAATTATGAAAGTTCTAAAATTTCCTATTCTAAAAGATCTTGGAGTTATTTGTTTGAAAATGAATTTTAATAGACCTGTTAAGCCCCAAAAGAAGAGTATGATAAGGAAGGATGGATGTATAAAGTTTCTATCTTTGCTACTCGTGCTTTTGATGTCTGTGCTGATGGTAAAGGGTGATGATGCAAAAAGTTCAAATGAGAAATTTAGTGACTCATTAGAATTAGTCAATCCCACAAATTTTAAAGAACATGGAACCAAGACACTCAATTTTCTTGAACATAAAAGAAATCTAGCTTCCTGAACGGCTTATAGCGATTGTAGTTCTTGCAACGCTGTAGACACTTGCAAGTGGTCTGCCACTAGCTGCCAAGATAACCCCTCAGGAGTCAAGGCTCTTGAAGACTACAAACTTTGTCAAAATGATGCTCTTCAGAGACAATATTGCTTCCCGTATTCAGGTCAAACTCCTTATGAGCTGTCAACAAAGGTCAGAACCCTTAAGCATTACCCTGATACATCTAATAAAATCCCAGCAGGGGTTATCTGTGAATGGCTGATCAGCGTGACCCCATCTGGAACTGTATCTTATGAAATAGATTGGACGGAAAAAGAGGCACAAGAGATATTTATCGAATTTACTTATTCTAATGATGTAATAAATAACATCAACACGACACACATCGATCATAACAGGAAGGAGTTCAAGTCGGAATCTACTAAATTTATCAAAATATATGCTATCCAAAAGAGAGAAAGTTCTAGAAGTACCTATAAGTAGGCTTTAAAGTAACAACTTAGTGTCATTTTATACAAGTATTACGAGCCACAAGCACAGTAATCCCTTGCTTTTATCATATAGAATTCTGCTGATAATTATATGCCTCATGGTCGTTGTGTTTCTTATAGTTGGAGTCCTCATGGCAACAAAGATTATTCATTCATGAATAAAACTAAGGGAAGCCAGATTGGAGTTGCAAAATCAGCAGAGAATTCACGATAAGCGAATGAATCGAATCTTGGAGGTAATATTCGATAGAAAACTTTATAGGAAAATCCCCCGGTTCCTTATGAACAAGCTCATGTTAAGTTTCATCAAACTTCGTGAGTTATCTGTCTCGAAGAATTTGAAGATGATCTTGGCAGGAAGTAGATAAAATATTTTATTTTATTTAGAGTAAGAATCCTTCCTCAATGAAATCACGTGTTCCATTCTGAATGCATCAACGAATGGTTTAAAAATAGCAAAGATGTTGACTGTCCGCATTGTCATAATCATCTATTAACAAAGAAAGAGATTAAGAGAGTGAGTATGCACAGTCGCAGTGAAACCATTGGAAGACACACAAAGTAAGTCCTAAATTCTTGGTTAAAAAGGCCCTATTTATTGTATTATTAATACTTAAAATAGTCACTCGGTCCAAGAAAACGATTCAGAACATGAGTAATCATTTATTGTAACCCCTACTAGGCCAAATCATGAAGATATCGAGTCCCCTCCAAAAGAGGAAGAAGAAAAAGATGCTGAGCCTGCTGATGTAACTATTCCCTCTCAAATCCCTAGATTTCCACCCTAAAACCCCCCAAAACTCCACTAATAAACACTTATCTGCCCACCTCCTCAAGACCTTCAGACTCTTTATCCCAAGTACAATTTTTCCAGGTTCATTTCCTCCTTAATTTCTAGACCAAATGCTCCCCACCTCACTCTGCCACCTAACCCCTAACTTCCATATTATAACTACCTCTCAATATCTCTCTCCTTCCACGGGGTTTTGGGGTTTTGGGGTTTTGGGG